GAGGTCACCTTGCTCTCGCTCAGTACAAGTGAGTCTTCTCAACCCAACCTCCTTCCTCCTTGATTAGTCTCCAGGACCTCCTCTTCTGGACTCACCGACTCTGACACCTACTAGGGGTCCTTCTCCAGGGGGCTGGGGGGTGCAGGCACCCCCACTATCCAGGGGGGCCTTGTGTGTGTGTGTTTACTGGCAGGCTGGATTAGAGTCTTAGAACAACGGTCCATCTCCAATGTGAATCAAAATCGCCCTGCGTCTTCAAGCAAAGTCTGTTTGTAGGCTCCTTTCTCCCCACCTCAGTGGGTGCCCCAGACTAGCTCCCCACGACTGCTCTACCTGCTTCATCTGGGTTAGAGCGAGTCTTTCTCACTCCAGACTTCCCAGGTTTTCATGTCTCTGCCACGCGTCCACTCTGCTGACTATTTTGTAGTAAACAGACTAGTACCTTACCCAGCCCGCTGGCCTGGCGACCCCCTGAATGCAGAGTCCTAACAAGGAAGGGTGCGGCCCCGACTCCCAGCAGCTTACACGAGAGGGGCCGGTCCAGGAATGCTGGCCACAGAACAGTGAGTGTCCACCACCCTGCCACACACCCTCCCAAAACAGTAAGGACTTATTGTCCCCAAGGGTGGAGAAATCTGCTAACCGCCACGCTGGACACTATCCTGGGCAGTGCTTGACTAAAAGCCCCTCAAAGCCAGATTTAAGACACATAACTTCTGAGAAAGCTAGAAAGGGGGACTGTTACAAAGTACAAGTAATTTCCTGACATGAGGAGGCCACGTCTGGAAGCCCAATACGGCAGTGTCCCACTAGGGAAGAAGCAGCATCTATTCCTCTCCCCCGCCTCTCTCTCTCTCTCCCTCTCTCTTTCACTCTCTTTCTCTCTCTCTCCCTCACACACATACACACACACACACATCCTTGATAGTGACAGTGCAAGTGGAGCCTGAGGGCTGTGCCCTCCTGGAAGCCTGCAAGTGACCTTCCCCCGAGAAGCAGGAGAACCAGGACCCAGCTGTGGACTGAGCAGGTCCCCTGCGAAGGCCCCGTGACACCTCCTCATTTCGTTGAACTCAGAATCACTTCTGAGAAAGACACAGGAGCCTGGCACAGCGAGACCAAAGGACCAGTTTCACTGCTTGTGTCAGCTCTGGAGATGGTCACAGGTGAAAGACTGCCCTGGACTCAGCTGGCTTCCAAAGGCTGCGCCTCTCTGTGGGACTGACACACAATGAGAAGACCCAGAGGGTGCGTTTTCTGCAGACAGCAGGCCCGGAGGGACCTTCTCCCACCTCAGACATCAGAGCCTGCAGGGATGGAGGCAGGAGTGGGGCCGCGAGCCGAGAGGGCTGCTCCCCGGATATCTCCTCACATTAAAATACAGCATTGGAACTCAGTGTCCCCTGCACCGTCCCCTTGGGTTTCCCTTGTGCTGATGGACATCACTGTGGCCCCGAGCTCACCCTGACACATCGAGTCAGGGGCTCAGGGACCAAGAGAGACACACCTGGGTGATGAAAGCAAGCCAGGTGGGGCCTTGTGTGCCCCTTCTCTCCCCACACATGTCCCTCCCTGGATCCCTGGATTGCACTGGGGTGACTGAGATCGACAAACCTGAACGTGTTTGGGTTTGAGGTTTAGCAAATTCTGTCACTCCAAAGTATTCCACAAATGTTTTGTGTTCTGCAAAACCAAAAAACATTGGCCAAGCGCTTTCTCCCCTAATTTTTAAGCCCGTGTGTTTTGAAAGGAAATGTAATCCGTATGTTTGGGGCACATTTACATGCAGCTCATCAAGTCACGCTCTTCGGTATGAGTCATCTGATGTCTCGAATGCTCAGGGAAGATGCTGGGCTTATAGGAACTCTGTTAGCACAGACAACAAATATGTGGACACTGGTGGGAAGGTGAACTGGGTTCTGGTGCTGACACAGAACCACCAGTTCCAAGAAGATATATAAACGAGCCTCTATGTCCCAGACGTCCATCTTTTCCATCTGTAAAGAGACACTGACAATTCCTAGTAAGAATTAAAGTGTAATTAATCAGGTCCTTTGGACTTGTTAAAGAGAACATGGAAAAGCCTCTGTGCTGGTCCCCACAAGTTTATTTTAATCTAACTTTCCAGAGCGCTGGAGGACAATAGTGGCTTCTATCTTTAATAATTCAGCCTTTTCTATCATGGGACAGGGAGCTTCAGTGTCATTCTATCACAGCCTCACCTGCTAGGTGAAAGGTCATGTTCAACCTGACTTCCTGGTCTCTACCAGAAAACCTCCCTCTTGCAGGGGCATAGAGAGTAGATGACAAAGTCATGGGCGGAAGTCCAGAAGACAGACTGAGAATATACACATTGTTTTCTTTGGGGAAGAGAAGGCTCTGGATGACTTGGCTAGGGTGCTTTAAGTAGATGGATGGGTTTTAAAAAATGGGTCTGCTCTCCAGACCCATTAAAGATAAGTTAACTGTTAGTACAGAGTGCCCGGGCTTTGAAGTCAGACAGATTGGGTGTTCATCTCTGCTCCACCTTTACTGTGTGACACTGGGAAATTTGCTTACCCTCTCTGAGCCTCTGTTTTTTCACTTGTAAAACACAGGTTGGGAAGACCATAAGACTAAAGTCTGGTTCAATCACAGATAACTTATACAAGTTCACTTCGAACTTGTACAAGTTCACTTCTATCATACTGTAGAGTATGAAAGAACGTAATGAAAATTTCCAGACTGTCAGCAAAAAAGAAATAATGAAGCACTAGAGTGGACGAATGAGAATCTATAGGTCTTTCCTGGAGGCCTGTAGAGAACAGCCCAGTTGGCAAGACAGAACGTGCCGATGAGCCATGGCCTGTGGCCTCCTAACTGTCCAGAGCAGTAAGACATTCACAGCCGTCAGGCGGACGCAGACCAGGGCCAAATGATGTGTCAAGGGAGGCAGCGAGGAGACAGGGGACCTGAGCACTTGAGCTGAGATGTCATCATAACTGCCTGAGCAGCAGCAAATCCTTCAAGACGGTGTTACTGGCAAGGTTCACGAATGACTCTAATCCCCCGAGGGTAGCACTAGTATTGGTCAACTCGGCCTACCTATTGCAGTTTTCCCTTCTAAGTCCTGTCTGGAAAACAAGGATATGAAGGGTGGGAAAAGTGGAGCTAAAAATAGAAGGCAAGAAAATAATCCTTGCAGCGACAAAAGGAATAGAAACAAATACTAAATGCTACTAGAGTTTTGCAAGAAAGGAAAAGTGAAAGTAGTTAACTCAAGCGAGTAGAGTTGGCCCCTGGCCCCGAGACGGGTAGTTTTGTGTAGAACACAGATCCTTAACCTTGGCACCTGGGCCTTTGCAAATCTGAATAAAGCTACAGCTCTCGCCACAGAAAAATGCACACTCGCTCATCCACACATGATTTACTTACATCTGGGGGCTCACAGAACCCTGAAATCCATCCCGGGATAACAAGGGAGAGATCTTAAATGCCCCCAGAGATTCTTATGGAAAGACGCTTCTATTTCGAATGCTATCACCAGCACAGTCACAGATAAGCCCAACATGCTGCTCCCTGACTTGGGGGGACAGAGAGCAGCCCCGGCCGTGCTCCCCAACCTGGACAGGAAGGGAAACTGGTCGGAGAAGAGGACTGTCCAGATGAAATGAAAGGGACAGGTGTTTGTGCTTCACTGACTAAGTTTTGAAAACAAAGAACTCGGTCTTATTTTAAACAAAGAGCCACCAAGAAGGAAAGTCTTTAGCTGGAGCCTACTAGCCTGAATTCTAGTGTGTTCTCCCACTAGCTGCTTGACTTAGAATATTCAACTTTGTTATCTGAAAACTGGAAGTTTAAGAGAACTTTACTCAGTAAATGTGACCTCGAAACTTCTAAGGTAAATAAAATGTTACAGAAACGTATGTGTTTTAAATATCCCATGGAGTTTCATAAAGAAGGGTTCTGATAAATCATTTTGTAGAAAACCATCGCCATGACTGATTCTTAGTACAAATCCGGGTTCTGATATAACGAGCTTTGTCACTCAAGAAGTAATTCTAAATACAACACCATATACTTTGCAGAGAAAATAGCAATGCTGTTTCCTTCAGAAGTACAAAAATACCCTAAATGAGAAAAAAAATCTGAATGCTACGTAGTTATCACAAAGCTTACACACTTTACAAGACATGTGTGTTACATTTGCTGTCTCAGTATGGTTTATAGAAAATGAAATTTTCTGATTAAGCAACCTGAAATATATCTGCTTTCCTTGGCAATTTCAGTTCTCTCCTAACTCTCCCTGGAGAACAGATTTTAATTTCATATAGGAAGAGTGGGAGAGGAAGGATTTAGAGAGGAGAATTAACCAAAACAATTCTATAGTCTCTAAGACCAGTTGCAACAGGACCAAATCATCTTATAAATGTCCGCAGTCCCTAAGCATTTCACTCTATCACAAGCAATTGTGATGATGTTGGGGCACAGAGAAAGGCTGTGTGCCACAAACTTATTTTATGAAAGCAGAAAATGCCTACTACATTTTAGAAATACTTCCTCAGAGAAAAACGGTTACCTCTTGAGCAAAGCATTAGCTCTGGAAGATTGTAGGTTTCAGTCCATAATTCCTTAGCTCCTTATCACAGAAAATAAGATGGCTAACTCAGAAGCTATAGCCACCTACCGATGCCTAGCAGAAGAAATCACAATTTTTTTGAGGATAAAAATCGCCATCAAGTTGGTTTTAAGTGACTGAAATATTGGGTATGATATAGTGAGAAAAATACCACATGGGATTGACCTGGTTACTCAACCAAGTGCATCAATCAAGACTCTAATGACTTAATCTTTTGGCGGGGAGGGAAGGGGCCAGTCAACTGCTTAATTCTAGGCTCCTCTGTCCATCTCTCTTCATTTGAGTCAGCACAGAGACACAACACACAAGTGTTTTCCAAAAAACAGGAGTCAACACCCAGCCATGGCTGAAATATATGTGAGGTTCTCCCTGCTCTTCTTACCTGTTCCTTCCAGAATCTCTGAATCCTTTAGCAAAAGGGTTGCGGTCGATTTTTAATCTGGTGATCTGGAAATAAACAAAAAAGGATGAATTGTATTTACATTAACTGGGCTTTTATTTATTTATTTATTTGTTTTGGTTGCCTAGAAAATTAACAAAACAACTCTGTCAATAGAGCTGTTGTTTTCATTTCATTTCCTTTTGGTGTGAGAATTAAATTGAAGCTGACACAGGACCTGATCCATTTCTCCCTGAAAACCAAGGTTTCCCCAGTATGTGACTCTGTCAACTCTCCACTCACCCTTCGTGTCCAAAAAAAAACCAGTGATAAATGACTTGCCCAGGGAAAGACATCAAAATGGATAACTGGGCATTAGCCAGGTCCGTGCTACATACAGGAGGCACCAAGACCGCACTGGAACGAACGAGGGAACGAGTCGATTCCAACCAGCCGGGTGCATAGAGTCAGGCCACAGACAGCCAGCCGTGGCCTTTCTTTCCCTCTGCGCTGCCATTGTGCAGCTCAACCACCTCATGTGGTCTTGCAAAAACATAAAAGTAGTTAGGCTTTTGCCCAGTTTGCTCACAGAGGAAAATCTACAATCAGGTAATGGATGGAGCGGGGAGCAGAGCACCTTATTCAGAGCCCAAGGCCCACAAGTAAGCGAGAAGAAGCAGAGGCCGCTTCATAAGGCCGAGCGAACCTGGCGGGCAGATGGTTCGGCACCTAAGTTCGTGTCTACTCCATTGTCTCAAGTGGTTGTATACACAGACCCTCATGTCTTGGGACTAGGATAAGCCTGAGACTCACAAATTCCATGGGTAGCTTAGCACTTCTGCTTTCAACTTTGGTCAGGGGCGCATTTATATAACTGTGAACAAAGCAGATATTAATGACTTACTGAGCAAGAGAGGGGTGAGGATTAAGGAGCCCAAGAAAGGTACTCGCAAGGAGAAAACATTCCAGAAACAAGGGAATCTCGTTATTTAAGATCACCTTCCTGTCTCTGATCATTGTAGAACTTAGCACTCGGTCTGCCAGAGCTGTTTCCTATGCTGCAAATCTTTCCAAGTCTCTCTTCCATCTCACTTTGTCAGAGTGGAATTTCCCAAAGCCGCAGTCTTTAAAGGTCTTTAAAATGCAATGTGAGATTCTGACAAACAGAGTCTGCCTTAAAGTACAAAGTTATTTTTTCCCCCTCAACATTCTTGCTTCTAGACCAGTGCACTAATAATGATAATGTCGCCAAAGCAATTTCACATCTTCTTTATAGACCAGAGCAGAGGCCTGAAGCTTTGGCTTTCGAAATTCCAGTGTCTGTTGTGCGAATACTGTACTGAGTTTAAAGACTGTCACTGCGTTTCTGCTTTTGACTTAAGATCAGTTCTCTCTTGCTCCATAATCCACAGCAGTAAACCACACACCATATTTTCTTTTCAAGTTGGGGTTATAATATTTTATTTTCTCTTTCAAGTTGGCTTATCCTGACCAACTCGTTTATGATAGAGGTTTCTGATATATGATTGCGCTTCCATGTTTGGGGGCCTCCACAGACCCCTGTAAATATAATGACATTCTATTTCATGCGTCTGGGAGAAACAGCCAAAAATCCGTTTCCCACCGTTTAAGGGAAATGGCATGAACTGTCCCCCCCGGCCAGCAAGCCTGCATGGAGATTTACTAGACAGTCGCCACCACATGTTCGGGAAAACAGCACCTCCATTCACCTCCTAACGTGGGGTTTTGAGAATTGCTGGAGTATGTTCGAGCTCATCGTCACCGAGTATAAAGGGCCTTCTGTGTGCAAAGTGACATGACAGGCGGTGCAGGCGACAGCCAGCCAGTGCAGGTCCGTGTATTGTCACTCCCCCCAACCACCAAAAGGTTATAATCTAGAAGGAAAAGAATCCATACTCACTAATATGACGATGTAAACCAGAAAGTGATAAGGTTTGCACTCAGGGCGAAGCATCGTGAGTGCCTGCAGGAAGCCAGGTTGCCCACGCCAAGGAGCTCAGAGGTTTCATGTTTGAGGGGACAGGTGAGCCAGGCTTGGAAGGCTGGGTGTGAGCTTAGTGGAAAATACAAGACGGGGAGAAGGAAGCAGGGGACCACACGGTAAGAAAGGGCCCATGGGAGGTAGAGAGAGCGTCGGAGAGCAGAACTGAAGAGCTCTCAAGAAACCCCGAGGAGACAGCTTGACCAGCGCGCAGGACAAAGGAAGGGGCCAGAGAGAGGAGGCGAGTGCGGCTGCGGGCCGGCTGAGGGCACCCCCACACCTGTGTGGCCCCGCTCGGGCGTTTGGTGGCCTGTAGGCAGAAGCAGGCCAGTCCAGCCACGAGCCTCCTTGGCCCCAGCAAATGGAATTATGTCTGCATACACCCAGGGGAGCGAGGTTAGTTTTGGGGAGGAGGAAACCGATGTATTTTCAGCCCCGACAGCCCCCTACTTCTAACAGGGCCTTGGTTCCAGCAGCAATGGCCAGTCTGGTAAATTCAGGCCCCACAAGAGTCTCCCAGAGCGCAGAAAGCTGGGCCAGGTGATTGCAGCCGTGGAACTCGCTGTCCCACGGAAGATAAGGATTTGACGTGAGGTGAGGGCTCCCCCTTGGGAGAAAAGTAGGCGCCCTCTCCGTCCCCTGGTGGAGCATGAAAGGAGCAGACAGACAAAGAGACAGCAAGCGGTGAGACTGGCGTGAGGCTTAGCTCCCCACGCAGACCAGAACCCCAGGATGGGCCAGGCGAGACTCATAGGAGACTGGCAGGGGGCCTCTCTGCATCCTTGTGTGTGTGGGCGCTCCGTCAAAGTAAGGCAGTGAGGGGTGTGAGCTCGTGTCCCGGGATTCCCATCACCCTTCTGCAGTATGTCAGGGACTCAGAGGCCCCCCCGCCCTCCGCCGCAGGGACAGCAGGGCTGCCCTGCATGGGAGAGGAGCAGCCGAGGCCTGAGTCAAGCAGAGGCCCTGAGTGAGCTCGCCAGGGAGCCAGCTGTGCCCGAAGGAACAAGGCTAAGGCCGAGTTCAGAGCCTCCTACTAGAATGTGAGGTCACAGGGGCCCCAAGGGCCAGCCCAGCCCAGGCCCTCCAGGCCTCCAAGAGGCCAGTGAGGGCTGCGGCACAGCACAGACACCAGCAGAGGTCACAGCAGCCCCACACCTCCCCCTGCCCCCACAGCACACATCTAGAGCCACGGAGGAAGAACCTGGTGGCAAAATGCTAACACTAGTCCTTTACCCCAAATGAGTCAAGTGGCTGAGATGAGAGCTAAGCCGAAGTGACTGAAGGCTTCGTGTCCTTTGCCACCTCGCTGTGGAGGTCAGAACTTCTTGGAAAAATCAGCCCTAGAACAGAGGCGGCCAGAGGGGGCTGGGAGGGAGAACAAGGGGGGGGGAAGTGGGGAGCTACGGTGTGGACCTCGGGGTCTGGTGGGAGTCTGGAGAGGCCTCTACTAAAGCCAACAGTGAGGTGAACCAGGGTTACTTCAATAAACGTCATTTTTTAAAGTCAACTACAGAAAATTACGCATTACCTCATTTCTACTGGAGGCATTTCTACTGCCACTGACATTGTGTAACCGGACATCTGTCGTTCCACGTGCTCTGTATTACATGTCAGACACTCACGTGTGACCCGCACACACACGTGCATATGCCGGGCACCTTTGAGAAGTTAATTTTCCACCCTGCTCCCCGTTCACGGCTGAGACTGAGACCTGAATATAACTGTTTCTACTTTTCCATCCTCGTCCAGATCACCAACGTCTGTTGACCAAACTACTCTTCCTCCGAGCGGCCCTTCCTTGGTGCGTACTGGCCCTGGCCAGTCCCCGCTCTCACAGCAACCAGCATGATCTCAGTAGCACATCGCTGCATCACGCTGTCCTGTACGGTGATGACCACCAGGATGAGCAGTGAACCCAAACTCCTGCCCAGCCCTGCGGGGCCAGCAAGCCGTGGCTCCTGCCTCTCCACTGGCCGCAGTCCCCAGCAGGGTCCACTGGATCAGCCTCACTGAGCTGCTCTGGGCCTGGAAGGGGCTGAGCCCGGCCTGCAGGCCGCCAGTGCCCGGCTCACGCTCCCTCCAGACAACAGCTCCGTCCCTCACTCCCTCATCTTGCTGACTCCTCCTGGCCTTACCTTACACACCACCCTTGCAGGAGGTCTAACCAAGAAAGACAGTGCTGCTTCTCATGCAGCCACAGTCTCCTTCACTCTCTTTGCCCCGACCCAGTCAATACACATATAGTTACTCTATTGTTTACGTATTTACTCTTTGGTTCTCTCCCTGGACAGTAGACAGGACGTGGGCCTGCCAGACACACCACTTATTCAGCGGAGCCTGCTGTCACGCACTGTCCCTGTTCAATATCTGTCCAGTGATGGAATGAGTGAGTGGGCGAAGGAATGAGACATAGGAGGCAGCAATGAGCAGCCCCAGAGCCCTTAACGAGACTTAGAGAATACACACCAGGCCGCTCCTTCAACCCTCCGGGCTTCCACTGAAGCCTTACAGACAAAAGCTTCAACACCCTTCCCGGTGAAACAAGGTCAGGGTCGGCCAGGCTCAAACATGGGCCAATGATAATGAAGACACCAAAAAATGCCAGGCTGTGGGCAGCTTTCACTGATCTTATTTCTGGTAATCTGAGGTATTAGAGGCTACAGCGCAGGGCGGTGATCAGCTTGCCACTACTAATCATCAACGCTGTCACTGCTTCTTGCCTAGCACACTGGGCAGTTAGTAAGTGTGGACAGAAACAGCATGAGCTGCAGAGAATGAAACTCGACTGTCCTAAGTGTGATGTGACAGCACACTTCCCTTATTAGCATTCCCAGTGATTTTGTTTTCATTTATCATGCTTTTTGAAATGGATTCCATCAGGATTTAAAAAAAAAAAAAAACAGTCCATATTTTAGGGCCCTCCCTGGTGGCGCAGCGGGTTAAAGCACAGCACTAAGAAGCCAAAGCCACTGCAGCATGAGTTTGATCCCCGCCTGCCCCAGAGGTGACCCACATGGCGCGGCAGACCTCTCCTGACCCGCCCGATGCTCCCCTCAGCAGTGCACTTCGTTGATCTGCCTGTTCTGCTCCCCGCTCTGTCTCTAGTGAGTCCTCTCACCACCCCTGCACCTCTGGCCTGTGCCCCAGTTCTGTATGCAAAAATAAATAAACCTTTAAAAGAAAAAAAGTCCATAGTTTAAAAAAGAATCTGCACTAATTTGACTGGAAAGTCAGAGCAACGCTGACTCAGCTGCTCAGGGTACAGTGAGTGAGTCAGAAGCCCTGTTGGGGTGCTGGGGCAGACCGGCCTGTGGCTTCCAGCTGCCCGTGTGGCTCACGTAGCCAGTTCTCCTCAAGAAGTAAGACTGCCTCACCTCAGGATAGCAGGGCGATGGCTTTTGGAAATTAGTTTCTTGCTTGGAGAAAACATCAAGTTTCAGCAGCCTTTTCCCTTAGAGAAGACAAAGAGCAGAGGAAATTCCCTGCGAATTTCACAGGGAGCTGTTTTTGCAACAAAAACCCTGAAGTGCAGGGCCACCTTTATTCCCACCTCTACCACCTTCTTCTCCATGATGGGATTCTGGGCACAACGTGCCTTCTGAGCCACGGCCCTGCCAGGCTGGCACTGCGAGAGCCAATCCTAGCAATAATAGCTTCAGTGTGCTAGCAGGCCAGTGAGTGTGGGGGGCAGGAGGAAGGAACAGGAAAGAAGAAATAAAAGCATAAAGTATTTCATGAAAATAGCAACTCTTTGTTCACACTTTGCTGCTACTGCTCTCTGAAGAAGCAAACCACAGAGAAGGCGATGGCCAGCCAGAGGCCTGGCACTGCGCATCTGTCCAGCTCTGTCCCAGACACATATTGAGTGCTATGTACTATGAGACAGACACTGATGTCTTAGAATTATGGAGATGGACGAGTCCTTCATCTTTTACTTCCTGAGTTTCGCTTCTTTTGAATCGCCCCTTCCTCAAGCCCCAAAGCAATCAGCATTGATGCTCCAATGTGTTATTCTGTCAAGTGAAGACAGCCACCATCTAGCTACTATCTCCTCTCATCATTATTTCATAAGTAAATGACATTATAGTATCCAAAATGTTTCAAAGTTCAACACACAATAATGCAGTCTATTAAAATGCTTGCGTGTATAAAAGGTTCCGACACTGTCTATCTGTCTTACCTGCTAAAGGACCAGAAAACAACTTCTTAGTCAGGTAACTGAGAAGCCTTGATTCACATCCAACCACCAATTTGCAAATGAGGTGGGTGAATGGGGAAAGGCAGGAAAGCAGGTCTACAGAAACAAAGAGGTGGGCCTAGGGTGCAAGTCTCTTCACTTCTGTTCTAGTGCTTTACACCACGTCTCACTGATTTGATTCTTATAGAAGACGAAACTTATTTTTCTCAAAAAGTGCAGAATATTAAAAGGACAGTTAGACACAGACACAATAAGGGAACGTTCATTTGAGGCTGAAAATTGCAAGGAAGCTTGTCAGTGACAGAATTTGCACTAAACTTGACACATAGAAGGAATCTAGACGCATAAAGACAAAGGGGAAGAGAATTTCTAGAATATCTACAGCCCAGGCAAAGCTAAAGTACAAGCAACAGTGAAAGCTGAAAGAGATTGCTGAGCCCTGTGGCTGGGCAATGAAGAGTAACAGAAAATGTGCCTACAGTCACTAGTCACAGACAATCTCAATTCAGACTTGGGAGCCTGGAATTTATTGCTCAGGCACCGAGGATCTAGGATGGTCTTGGACAGAGAAATGAGGCTTTGGAAAGATTCATCCAGAAATAAACATATGGGATGACTCCTGAAACACGGGCTTCCGTCCGCGTGACTGCTGGAAGCGCTCACAGGCCACGGTGGGGGAGGGCAGGCCCAGAACCAGGCAGAAGCAAGGAGGTCGGGAAGAAGACAGTGTTCCATCAGTAGAAGCAGCAGCACTTAGTGGCAGAGAGAGGCTGGTGTCTGGCAGGGTGCTAAGACGGAGGCCAACAGGAAATGCATTTTAACAATGGAGAGGTCTGAGGGGAGTCACAGACCAACAGGAAGGTTTGGGGTATTTTGTATAGCAGCAGCAAAATACCAGGTGTCCACTTCTCCAGTGTGGACTTGCTAACGCTGTGTTGATCTGCATGTTGTGGGGATTAAAACATCTTTCACAGACAGGAACATTCCAGTCAGTTGCGATCCTTGACAACCACGTTATCAGTTGCCTCTCTTTGCTGACAATAACTGCTCCCAACTCTCACTTAACAGCATGCAGGAGGGGGAAATCACAATTTCAGAGCTAATAGACCTTGGAAAGCATAGGCTAGCTGCTCATTTTCTAGAAGAAGAAACAGAAGCCCAGAAAAACAAAATAATTTGCTCACAGCGACATACACAGCCACAGAAGAATTCAGACTGGAGCCCAGGTCTCAAGAGCCTCACCCCTCGCTGTCTGTGAAACAAGACGCTGCCTTTCCCTGAGAGGACTCCGTGCTTGGCCTCAGTTCCATTCCTTCTATGTCCTTTCCTTCACTATATTCCTCCCACAAGTTCCTTAGAATTCACCACTGACCTTTTTCCTCAAGATGCTCTCCTAAGTCTCCTTACCATTCCTTGAAAAGAATATACCAAGCAAAATATTTTGCCTTGAAATATTGATTATTCTTATTCCAGAAGGTTCTGGGAAATGGAAACAGGAATGGGTGGATATAGCTGTCAAAAGAGAACAGCTTATGATCCGTGGCATCTTCTCGCGCGGAGAATGAAAACTATTGTTGGGTAACACCTCTGACTCTCCACACAGACCTTAGGATTCCCAGGAGGAAAAGACACCACATGAGGTTAGTTTACATGATTCAAAAGCACTGTATTGTATTAAATCTTCTCTACACAGCCAAAGGCAATGTTAAACAATCAGGCCTGCTGATTTCTCCAGGGACTGGTTGAACAGACAAAGCTGCTATCTTGATGTCAAAATGCTCAGCATTAGAGATGACTCATCTACTCTGAATGTCAGCACTACATGAACTCACCCACAGGACAGAAGGACAGAGATCAAAGGTGTTCCATTTTGGGTGGGATTCCTTCTTGAGCCAACGCAGCCCCACAATTCCCAACAACCCACTCTGTGTTAAAGAATTTACTCTTTAAAATTGCCTGGACTCCCCTTCTCCTTCACGCCCGGGACCCAGCATGGCAATGCAGCCCGAGTGTGGTCTAAGACAGGGCAACTTCGCACCAGGAGACGCGAGTTGAAAGGGGCAAGAAACGTACTGACAGGCACCACTCATGCGTGGAAGTGTCAGAAATC